GAAACTGCTGGTGGATGCAGTGGCTCACAAGCTGGAGGCAAAGACCGTGCCCTTGCATGGAGATTGCTGCCAAGTACAATGGTAAGTTTAACTGGTGACACACCTTATCCTTTGCCCACAAGTATAATAAAAATCCTTAAAATCCTTTTTCTCTCTTCCACAGCTCCAGCTCCAGCTCCACAATAGCCTCAAGTAGTGAATGAACCTCGTTTCCATTCTGGTATATATATACTTTCACCCATTATTGGCAAGCAAAGTGAGCCTACATACTCATCTGTGAAATTCTCATCAAAACACTTCAAAACTACTGGACAATGCGCATGCAACAAATGCCAATACACTACACATTCACCACTATACTATTGGTAAACAAAGGGTATAAGCAGACAGAAGATTGACAGTCACACTGACAGATACACACACAAGATAGAAAAACAAAACCAAATTTTTGCTGCGCATACTTGCTTTGGGATTGTAATGCTATAGGCTAACATGAACGGTATGCAGCTATGGTTTTTGTGTGAAGAACACAACAATGATCATCATCAGTAGAACAAACACATTCAACAATCATGTATGATACTGTATGGCATGTAATAATGATGACGTTAGTGGCTATTAGACTGTGAGGATGAGTGAGTCCTCTCAGTAGTGTCTGATGTCTTGTGATGTTGGTCCGTCCTCTTTGGAACTACCTGCATCATGGGATATCACACTCCTGAATATAGCCTCACTCCTATTCTACATTCACATCCAATAGCAGTAAACCACCCCAGTAATGCTGCCGGATTGTGGCCCAGAGAAACTATGCTGCAGGCCAGGTGAAGAAGCACACCAACCCCAACCCTTTTAACGAATCGTTTGTTTTTCTCCACGCTCGAATCAGTATTGAGGAGTAATCAGACCAGATTCTACCAGGCAGTTTTACAAAGTTTAAATCTTAATGCTGTCGTCTGGCGTAGCCATACACTTAGTCATAGGGATAAGAGTCTAGTCTACTGACATCGACCTTTTCACTTAGCGTACCTCTACATTATAATCATTCTGGCAATCACGCAACAACATTGAGCAAGCCATACTTTTGCATAGAAATCAAAACGCTATATATACGTCAGTCGACTAGACTCTTTTCCCCACGTGGGTAGGAGTCTGTCAACACAAGACTATAATACTGACGATTGTGTAATATACCTCATATGTAAAGCTTAGCCAAGGTGTAATTAATCATCAAGCATGCCATGGGTATTCAAGTATAATATAACTGAAGCTCTCCACCAGTCCATCTTCACACTTCCCCTGGGGAAGCTGAGGCTGACCTTGTGGTAACTAGTCTCTGGGGACGAGGAACTTGCTGGTCTCGGTCTGTACCTCCTCATACTTCTCCAGAGTGATGACTGCTGTCACTGTGGGGAACACTGGGATATCTGCAGACAGACAGACAGACAGACAGGCATGGCATGACGTGTCAACTACGAGGTAGAAAGGCAAGGGACAAGAAACAAGTCAACTACACCCAGGAGGAAAAAAGAAGAGCTGCCTTAGGTGGGAAGAACCCAAGACGCTCTGCAGTCTAGGTGAGCGCTCTACCAACTGAGCTGCCAAGCAACACAGCTGTTAGGGGTTCAATTCTTCAACACAAGGCAAACCTAGAACCACTGTGCTATGGCACAGTATACTCTCACACACCTCTTGTGGTTCACTATACCCCACAGTGCAGGGTGAGTACTAAAATACTGACCAAGTTTGACGGGGAATCCAGGAGGCAGTTTCATGTGACAGAACTGCCGCAGTTTGTGAAAGTGTTTGTATGGAGCAATAACCTCCAGAATGTCCAAGAGTCTGCAGTAGGAGAGTTGCACACCTCTTATGTCTACTTACACACACCATGCATTGAGTATGATGTCTTGACTATTGCCTGGTTTATGTATATTGAGAATAGATTATACAGTACACGTCTTATTGATGTGGTAGACACTTACTTTCTCATTTCTATAGGGCAGGCCTCTGTCTGAAATAAGATACAGATAAATAAAGTGTTAGTCGGGTGGTGTTACACACACTGGCATACCACACAGACTGAGGCCTTGTAGTGTTTCTGCTCCACTTTTAGATCTTGTTTCCTCCCTAATTGAGGGGGCCTGTGAAATTAACACAGATCTATACCAGTATGTACGTTAATAGATAAATGTAAAAGGGGCAACATACAATATGCACTGCAAGCTAGGTTGTGTGACAAAAGTCTAATGCAACTTCAATGTGATGGGCAGACACAACATGTTGCATGCAACAGACACACCCTCACATGTACGGCATGTATGTAATGGCATGCCCACTGCATGCAACTAGCTGGGTCCACACAAAATTGCATGCAATAGACTATTATGAATGTATTGAGTAGACCAGAGCACCCATGAGACGACAGAGTTGCAAAGTGTGTCAGTATTGGCCGTGAGTGAGTGAGTGTGCAGCGTACTCTTCATCGGGAGAGTTGATGTACTGGTCCCAGGAGATGTTGGAGGGAGGAGGAGGAGGGAGAGACACACACATCACCTCACCCTCTTCATCCTGGCCAGTGTAAGTGGATAACACATATGTACTACATGATGCACCAAACATAAGCAAGCAGGAGATGAGAAGGTACAACCCAAAAGGTGCCAACATAACATGCTAGTTCACAGTAATGCAAGGCTGTCCAGTGCACAGCATGCCATGTAAGGTAGCCAAAAATCCATCTTTGCCAACAGAATCGTGTACACATAGCCAGTAGTAACCTGGGAGGCATTCCGTGCCAAATACCTAAATCCAGTTAGCTCCAAAGCAGGTGTTCACACCCAAGCCTACCCCAGCTATACAGATAAGCAGGTATACAAGTTACAGCTACATGTACATACGAAACTACAAACCTGTCATACTACCATCAGATCTCTTACCATTAGGTCCTCCTCTTCTATCTGACCATTAGCCACCTTCCTGGCCATTTTCTGAGAGGAAGACAACAGTGGGTCAAGGGAATGGAGTATGGCTAGGTTGTATTTCGTTCCACACACACTGTTGACTACTACTACTACTAATACATCAGTACCACTTGATTAACATACTTCCGCTCTTGTATTTGCTCGGGGGTGAGGTGCTCTCGCCTGTAATATTGAACGTAGCAAAGCACACAATTCACTCCCTCAGCAAAAGCTCAGTCACACCACCCACAGTAAAAAGACAGAAGGAGAAGAACTTACCTCTTTCTAATGTTGAGGGAAAGGTTAGTGATATTGTAGACGTCTGTTGAATATTCACCTACTCTTTCCTGTACAGCATCCAAAACCAACAAATGACTCAACATTCATTTTTAGAAATGCTGCACAAACTGTAGATACCGTTTTCTCGGCCTTGAAGAACCATCCAGACTGTGCTCTGGACACAGTGATTGGCTGAGTGGACATGTTGGCATATACCACTGGTCTGGGGAGGAAATGTATACACATGTGGTAGAGATAGAGACACGATGTGGAGTAGAGTGATACGTATGTACTGTATGGACATACTTGCTCATGAGAACATTGATATGCTCGTTAAGGTCCATTTCCATCTCAGCCTGTGGGAACAATACGTAGACACAGATGTGCTGTATATTCCGACATGCATAAGCTTCAGTTTTCATTGTCAACCAGACATCAAGCTCTTCATACACGCATGGGGACGCACACAATAATATAGCAACAATATGAGCATCCATGGCATAAGTCAATATGCCGATATACAACTCTGTCCAAGCCACTTGAATACATTGGCACAACATTTTGCATTCAATGCACATGTTACTATCCATGGCCAACTTCCCTGACAGAATACAAGGATGTGGATGTGTGGTGTACATGTACGTACAGCTCCCATTAGTTTCATTCTGGTATAGGACTTGGAGTCGTTGTCGAGGACGACCAGAGAGAGCGTGTCTGAGCGAGCCTCCTCTCCGTTGAAGATGAAACTGACGTTTCCACGACTCCACTGCATCCCCGTGAAGTCCCCCAGTGTCGAGTCCAGTCTTAGGAGGAGGGGGCGGGGCACAGAGGAGGGGGAGAGGGAACGAAGGGAGTGAGAGAGAAAATGGAGAGGAGAGTGAGATTGGGAGGAAGGAGAGAGGGAGAGAGATAGGGAGCGGGCGGGGGTATTCCATCCAAGGTCTCTTTGTACTTCATTGCACAGTATGTATATACCTGATACAACTTCCAGACTTGTATATTCTACAGACATCGGAGGGCAGAAGGCGAGACAATAGTGGCACTGGAGGGAGAGGGGGGAGAGATGAAGAAGGAAGGGGAACAGGGGGAAGAAGAACTTCCATATTGTCAGAAAAAACTCTACGGTACACATGTCAAATAAGGGAGAGCAAATACACGTCGTAAGATACTCACCCCACGTATGGAACTCCCACTTCAGCTCCGCGTAGAAGTCATCGAGCTACAAAGTTAAAACATGTTGTACAACTGCTAACAAAGTGATAAGGTTAGGTTACATGATACGTACAAGTATGGATAAGTGGGCACTTGATCAAAAGCTACACAAAGTGCACTCTCTCTTTATAACCTATATACGACTTACACAGAAGAAGGAAGACTTTTGGCAAACATACACAGCAACATGATCCCTGAACAGCTTACAAGCATGTACATACAACTCCTAATATTATTACTGGATAAGGTTTTCCCTTTATTATACACGTCTCGAATTACTAATATGATGTAAACCTTTCTGCAAGGAGTGCGTGCATGGGGAGGTGTATTCTGGACTCAATACTCATCTCAAAATAGTCAGAGTGTCACCATTTGCATTTGGCTTTTGCACGTAGTTTACCATTACTTTAGAGTGGTAGTGGGAAGAAAATTGCCGTTTATGCCATGGGTGTAGTTTGATGTGTGATGACATACATATGCTTGTACAGAGCACTGAGGGCCAGTGGCATCGCTTTTGACACATACAGCAATGATCGGAATTATTCTACTCACGTTCTGAAGAGAGCTGATGAGTTTCTGCCTCCTCTGAATCAGCCCCTGGAGTGTCTGTTCTCGCAGCTTCCTCAGCAGGAGTCTGACTACACAGAAACACCGCACCATTACAAGGCACTTAGTGTCACAAACTACAAGAGGGCTATCACTCAATTCTTTAACTCTGAAGAAAGCTATCCTGTGCCAGCTTTTACGTATGTGCTTACTGTATAACGACATACGTACATGCTGTCCTGAGTGTAGTTGACATGTTATGCATGGCACACATTAAACCGTAGATAGAGAGGGAGGGAGAGAGACCAACCGGTATTCTTGTCTCCATAGCTGATGGCCTCGTCCAGGGGAGTCCACCCACACTTGTTCTTTTCCTTCACCACAGCTCCATGACTCAGCAGACACTCCACCAGCTCTGAGTATAAAGACACACACAGTGAGAGTGGGGTTAGTGGCAGTGAAAGGGAAATAGGGGGTGGAGACAGGGAGCCACAGAGTGCGGTTCTAGTTGCATAAACACAAAGAAAACTCAGACACACTATTTACCTTTGTGTCCCAACATGACAGCAATATGAAGTGGTGTATTGCCTACACACAAGAGAAAACCACAGTCTGTAGCATGGCAACACACATTAATCAGAAGTTTTGTGCCCAGTGCATATTCTACTGCGTTGTAACACAGCCTGTGCACCAGTAGCTATCTCCAGACTCACCGAATCTGTCATGTACAGATACGCTGGCCCCTCTCTCTAGAGCCGCCTTGGCGCCGGCAAGGTCGCCGTGGAACACACTCTGTGCAACTCCAGTTGGGCCTCGTCTCTGGCCACGTTCTCCGTCCGCGGCTCAGAGCTGACGTCCTCCTCCAGATACTCCGAGCTCTCTTCCCCCACGACGTACCTACTAGCCATACTGTGCAAGCCTTTTCTCTAGCAGCCTAAACGTTTCGGCGCTTGTGTGTGGCGACGTTCAAAGCTCCGCCTCCAAAGAGTAGTGTACTAGTACTTTGACCCTGGTCTTCTGCTGACGGTGCACAAACTTCGTCCACTGGCAAGCCAGCAGACGCGCAGAAAAGTGGTGATAAACCGTCTGTAGTCTGTAAGTCTCAGTCCTAGATGGTCATGAGCAATTTGTGCATTTCATGTGGTTGTACATAAGATTAGTAGATGAAAAATATAGCGTGACTGGAATGGCTGTTTCTTTCATAGTGAGGTAGGGTCTATTTTATAATGAGGGCGGTATACTTTGTAGTGAAGTTCATGACATTATGAGGACAGTATGAGATTGGTATATTTCATCATGAGCTCGGTCTTTTTATCAAGAGAGGGAGGGTGTATTGGGTGTGGTCAGATGGTTAAGGACTAGTAGCTTGATCGAGAGGTCAGTGGTTCGATCCCTGTGTGGGAGGTGTTTTTTTATAATGATGTAATACGAGTGTTAGTATAAGAGGAACCTTTTTTCATCAGCTCTCGTGGCCAGCCCAAGTGGCTAAGTGGTTAGAGACGTGGGGACTGTCACATAAGGTGCCCGGTTCGAATCCCGGACCCGCACTGAAACTGACAGGTGGTCCAGAGCATTGGCTGGGAACAGCTCTGGTTCCTCCCCTTACCCATGAATCTACCATTGACCCACATACATCTCGAAGGACAGCGTATAGTTTGGCATTGCACTGCGTCCATAGACGTCTGTCTGGAGAGATGTAGGGTGGCTTTTTTCAACCTTTTTTATTTTTTGCCTTTAAATTTTGAATAACGTCTGTTTTTTTTAATGCATGGCAGAATATACTTGTCTAAAAGGTAAGAGCTCCAAACATTCAAAAAATTTTTTCGTGGTGGCCAACATCCAGTCCCCTCATTAATTTGGCGAGAGAAGCAAGCTCACCTACCTGTAGTTGTCTGAATGTGGGATTTTTCTGGCTGGGCTCAATGCTTTAAGTGGCTCTGACACCTCCACTCCACATATTATAGTGGGTGAATTTTTCACGGAGAGGCCTCCACCTCAATCAACTATACATGTGTTAGTCAATCTTTATTCTTTGTTGAGTCTCTTATTCTCCCCATACAACCCCCACCTGGCTAATGGACCGCCTGAAGTGTAGTGTGTGGAATTGATTGACACTATCGCCAACAGATTGATTGCCCAGGAGCACACTAAGGGGGCATGGCTAAATTTGCCTATTTTATGTAATGCACAAGTGCCTAGATTAACACAATAATAGACTGACCTCATGGTAGATGAACCGACTTCACTATGAAATAGACCAACCTCATGGGGAAACGCACTAACTACGCGTACTATATTTGACACGGATAACATGCCATATGTAAATCCTTCCTCACTACCAGGGTACCCGACTGAGCTCAGGAATGGCGGGTTCCTGGAAAAACCAGCGGATACAGGACCACTTTGTGGTGCTGTGCAACGAACTGGACGTGGACCGCATCACCCCCGTCCTCCGGGCAGAGCACATGCTGACTGCAGACGAGTTTGAGCAACTGACAAACCCCCATTTCACCACCCAGACCCGCCGTCAGAAGCTCCTCCTCTTCATCCCCCGCAAGGGCCGCGCCCACTTTGAGAAGCTTGGCGAGTGTCTGGTGTGGTCAGGTCAGAGTGAGCTGGCCAGGAAGATTGGAGTCCCCGTGGAGGACATTCGCCCCTCCCCTCACCCTCGTGCGTGAGAACAGATATTCTACTCATCAACCCCCGTAACACCACACACACACACACACACTCACACACACACACCACACACACACACACACACACACACACACACACACACACACACACACACACATACACACAAATTTACACCATTCAACCACACTATACTGTACATGCTGCATATCTTTGTACGCATGTGTTAGCTATGTCAAATGTTTGAACTCATGTGCAGTGTGCCTGTTGCTTCTAGAAAAAAGTACATTGGTGCATTGGAAGAGGGACTTCGCTTGTGACACAGATTTTTTTTGTGTCCATCCACTTGGCAAAGCCATGATACTGCATATCTATAGGCCTTTTGTGATAGATGTGTTGTTACTGTTGACTGCAATTCTCTCTCTACCTACCAACAGCTGTCCAGCAGTCATCGACGTCACTGCAGGCAGCAGAGTTTGCGAGAATGATGCACATGTTGTCAGGTATATTCACGGAGCTAGTATGAGATTGGATTTGACTGTTGTGTTCTCCTTCTCTCTCAGATGGAATGGGGTCACTTGCGTTACCCTGTGAACGTGCCCCCGCCACCTTACCCTGTCCATCCTACTGCCACCAGCCACCCTGTCCATCATTCCACCACTGCTGGTCACCCAGTCCCTACTGGAGTCCCTACTGCCACCACCAGCAGTCGCCCAGTCCCTCCTGCCACCGCTACCAGTCACCATTACACATCTTCTCCTCCACGACACCCTCCACTCGGCGCTCCTCATGCTGCAGTCGGGCCTGAGCCAGCTACGTTACAGTCATCCAGTCCAGGCTACTGAATCTGGTGGTAGCAGCTCTTACCATCCCCGACCATCAGGCGGAGCAGTTTATCCACCACCACCTGATGGATCAGGTTGTAATTCACACAGTGTAGGCCACACCCGTCCGTGCTTCTTAACATCTAGAAGTTGTGGTTTTGCTTATGGCACTCATGTTTGCACATTAGCATTTTTGTGTGTATACCCTTTTTCTTGGCTCTTTCTTGCATGCTCTGAAATGGTACTATCTGGACCTGCACGTGATACGAATTTTTTCCTTGCAAACAGACCCAGAGCCGAGTAGTCCCAAGAAAGTGCTCGTTCTTTACTGCAACGATGAGGCGATGGGAGGAGGAGGAGATTTCTCCGACAGTGTCTGTGCATTGGCCGACTTTCTCACTCGAGTCTGTGGCCAGAGAACTCGGGTGCACTGCGACCTCTACATCACCCACCCACCCAGTAACTGGACCCGATGGACAGAGAGAGAGATCAGGGAGAGCGACGCTGTCCTCCTAGTCTGCTCCAAGACTCTCAAACACATGTTGGACCACCGTAACCCCGATCGACCGGTCCCCATGAAGAAGGGTCACTTTGACGCCGAAACTGTCTACAATCTGATCCGCTCGCCAAAGTTCATCCCGGTGTTTGTCAAACCACACGGGGCTGGATGACCTCCCCGACCTCTATTCCCAGCCCTACCGTGACTGGGTCCCTCGCAGCTCCTCGGAGTGACCCGCTACTGGCTGGACCTGCAGGGACTCCACAGTGACATGAGAGAGCACCCTCGGAGGAGGAATATGGACACGAGCTCGCTCGCGTTCTGGGGAACCCGCAACCGGCGAGGAACGTGAAGCCAATCTTTGTCCTACTTAGATTTCTGCAGGGAGTTTCAGACACACCGAGGCCAACTCCGTTCCGTGATCCCATCATTCCACCTCTAGGTAGAGTGGATGTTGCTCCACATGGCTATCACTCACATACATAATCATTGAGTGTCACTATTTTTCAGCATCATAAGAGGTTTACCCTTCACATTATGGTAGTGGTAGGGAGTTTCAGTTTGAGGCCAACTCACTATATAAGTTTCACAAGTATGGCTATGAATTTCATTACACTGCTATTTGTGTTGTCTGGCAGATACGACATATTGCGTACTCCCAGCAACACACCTAGCGAACAAAGGTTGGCTCGATATGCTACTAGTAGTACGATGTTTTACACTCGAATTATGTACTGTATGACTATCTGTCTGTTCCAGCTCCGCCGCCAGCAGAGCTGACATTCACGGAGCGTGAGTTGCTGACAATAGCCAGCCACATCCCGAGGGACTGGGAGACTCTGGGCATCAAACTCGGCCTCCTGTTCCCCGCTCTCAGAACATCCGATACAAGCACTCGCTGGACGTCCAGGGAGCTGCAATGGAGATGTTGGAGGTGTGGCGGAGGGAGAAGGGGGAACAGGCAACCAGAACTGCCCTCAGAGAATCTCTCGTGGCTGTAGGCTATGGTCGAATTGCCGAGAAAATCTTTGGTAAAGACTAGCATGTAATAAACACTATGTAGGTCCATGTATTGAATTGTGTACATATTAAAGTATACAGCTGTTGTAGTAATCGCAAGCCAACTTTCTTCCGTACAGACGGCTCTGGAATAATATATACTTCACACATTACTACAAAATTACTCTTGAGAAATACGGAGGAAAGAAAACAGAAACCCAAAACGTTTGTGTACAACTAGTTTGTGGGGAGCTAGTCGTCGCTGTCTTCGTCCTGTTGGCTCCCATCCAGTAGCATATAGAGGAACATCCTCTGAGTGAGGATCTTGCCCACCAGAGAAGCATACTCCACCACGATCCTGTCCTTGATGTGGCCGTAATAGCTCCGGAACAGCATGTACGGGATCACCTGTTTCTCAAACAGTATGAGCACGCCACCCAGGAAAGAAAGGACACGCTCGGTGTTGTACTGGTCGTCGTTCAATCGCGAGTATTTAGACACGTCGAGTCGCTGTCGTGCGGTTTCGATCGGCGTGAATCGATACGTGTCGGGACAGAGGAGGTACGAGGGGCTGTACTTTCCCTTGTAGTTCATCTTGGCGTTGTTGTGTATGTAATACCCCATGCAGTAGTTCTGAAACTCGGGCTTGGTTCTGCTCAGTCTGCGAACGAGTTCGATCTCCCGCAGTGCCGAGTACACTCCGAGATCGAGCCAGGAGTACTCCGGGTCGTAGTAGACGTAGACTGACGAGAGGTGTGTCGGGAGGATGTCCACCACTGCCACCATTATCAACTTCCCGTCGAGGTAGTATTGGTAGTGGAAGGAGCCGTATTTCGGAGTCCCAGCCTATGGGACCGTCCAGGGAAATGAGCGGAGTGTCGCAGAGGAACCGACGGAAGGATCGCTCTGATATCTCCTCCTCCTTATCCCCGTGGACGGCCATCTGGTACTTCTTGTAGAGGAGGAAGCTCTCGATGAACGAAGACATGAGCTCCTGGGTCAGAGGGTAGCAGTCCACCACCTTCAGCTCCAGGTTATGAGCCAACTTTTGGTCTGATGGGAGTTGCAGGAGCTCCTCGACTGTGATGTGTGGCTGACTGGGTTCAGCCTCAATCTTTGGCTTAGGTTCCTCGGTAGTAGAAGTAGGCTGCTCTGACTGTGTATCCATTGGATCTCCATCTTCTTCCTTGTCTTCCTTTGCTTCGCCATTCTTGTCTTCCACCGCTTCCTTAGCAGCAGCAGCAGCAGTGTCATCATCTTTATCCCCAGTGTCCATAGCCTTGCTGTCTTCACCAACTGATGCTGTCTTCTCACTGATGCTATCGCCTATGTTTACTCCAGGGTCTGGCTCTCTGGCCGCCAGCTTTTTGTTGCGTCTCTCCAGACGAAGCTCCTTTCCTTTCCTGCAGCGAGGCTTGTTGTGGTCAGCACCCACCCCCGGCCTAGGCACCTTCTTTTCCTTCTTCTTGGTCTCAACCTCAGACTCATTCTTTTGTTCATCTTTGACTGTGTCCATCACTGTCTGTGGATCATCTGTTGAGTCCTTTACGTCTTTCTCATTGCCTTTTGTCCCTTCAGCTGTCCCTTCAGTTTCATTAGTTTCTTCCTTATCTCCCCCACCTGCTCCATTTGTCTTCCTCTCTTCCTCCACCGTGGGAGCCTTTTCCCCATCTACTCCGTTTGTCTTCTCCTCTCCCTTCATTGTGGGAGGAGAATCCCTTTCCCTTTCCCCACCTGCTCCGTTTGTCTTCATCTCTTCCATCATTGTGGGAGCCTCTTCCCCACCTACTTCGTTTGTGTTCCCCTCTTCCTTCATCATGGGAGAATCCTTCTCCTCTTTCTCCGAGGCTTCCCGAGGCTTGGCTATGCTGGCTCGCTGCGATTCTTTCCCTTCGACCAGAAATGCGCGCATTCTCCTGGCGACTTTCCGCTGGGAACGCGTCGGCTTGAATCGTAGCGCCTCGCAGCGGATAGCGTAGGGCGGGCAGCACGTCCTGCTCATTATGGGCTTGTAGAGGTACTTGCCGCTCCTCCGCCAGCCTCGCTCGATGAGGTCCTGGTAGTCCTGGCCGGCCAGACGGTGTCCCCACATACCGTTCGTCACGAAACCGTCCGCCGACTTGCAGTAGCCGCACCTGTGGCCAGACACCTGTCGTTCGTAGAAGTATTCGACGATGCTGGCTTCGATGTCATCGGTGTTTCTAGCCTCTTTCTCCTCTGTCGCCATCTTGCCCTTTTTGGACGGGGGTCAGAGGTCGCGCGCCCACGGCATGGTTTTTAAGCGCATGCGCATTTTTTTGACCTTCAAACGCAGTTAACATTTTTGTGTGTAACGGTGTGTATGCCCTCTGCCATGAATTATAATTGATCGTAGACGTAACGTACTGAAGAGGGTTGCTTTCTAACAACACAGTCACACGGCGCAACAATATTAGCTACGCAGCTATGCACTGTAAGTAACAGACACCAGCAGCGTTGGGGCTCTGTGTGTGCACTGTGTACTAGTCGCGCAGTCAGGGAAGAAAAGGGGCAGGTTCCGCGAGACTAGCCTACTAGCTAGCTAGCTAGCTAGTTTACTACGAACGGATCACGCCCACCAAGGGTCGGCCGGCAGCCGTTTGGAACCTTTAGCGGCAGCTGCGGCCTCTTCCCGGGTTCTTTCTCTGTCGCCGTGCTTCCCTAATTGTGTGACAAGAAGCCAACCCCAGAAATGGCTAGCTTAGGACCCCTCCTTCGCTCCTCCTTTTGACTTGCCTACCGCCTTCCAGCTCCTCCCTCGTCCCAGCAGCTCCTCCCCTCACCCGTCCAGCTCCACCCACTCCCTCCTGGAGCCCCACCCAACTCTCCTAGGACCAACCCGAGCCCCACCCACCCGCCTATTGTACACGACGTGGCACGCGCGCGCGCACGCATGTGTGTGCACAGCTAGCCCCGGCCGGCTCGCAGCTAGCATAGCTACTAGCTAGCTAGCTCGGCAGTGCCGGCACGCGCCCCGCCCCCTGGCCTATAAAACGAGTCGTGTCGCCTTCCCCCCGATACCTACCACTGGCTGCTATTACATCCTGCACCTGTAAACCTTTTCTAGCCAGCAAGCCATGCCCGTCACCACAGAAGTGTGCATTCATCCTGCGCAGAGCCCGGTGCGGCAGCCCGATAAGCACGGCCAGCAGCACTCTCCACTGGCTGAACAGGTCTGGCCCGACGGCGGCGAGCTCTCCCTCCGACCACCGAACCTCGCCACTGTCACGCGAAAGTAAGTAGGCTTTTGCGGTGTTTATTTTGCAAATGACCCGCGTAGATTTCCACTCTCTTGCATTTCTGTTTCCTATCCGGCAGGCAAGTGCAGGAATATTTCGAGAACACATACAACTTGGATGAGCTGCTCTTTACGGCTATCACTGGTGCGTGCAATATGTTATTTTAGCTGTTCGCTCTATCAGTCGTACTGTGGTAGCCCTGACACTGCAGTCGTCTGCGAAAACACGCTTCGAATGGGCTGAACGTTTTCTTTATTTGTCCACACATCTACACAGATGAGAAGTACCTGTACAAGTGTCCTGATCGTCTGAGACTCCCACTCATCTTCTACCTGGCTCACCCTGCCACACTCTATGTCAACAAACTACTGCTGGCCTCACTCATATCAGTGAGCAATTTTTGTCATAATAATTCAACCGCACATGCGCGATTTAGCTATCTTATGCACACCCAAACTGGTGTCTGAAGGTCTCTCGCTTCTATGGTAAAACATTTTGTGGTGCACTATTAACTCTGATCCTATGCTGAGTGGGTGAGTGTGTGTTTTATCATCCAATGCTACAGCAGCCATCCACCACACACAGCACCTACATTGAGACTCTGTTGGTGCAATATGCAAATGAGCACCTCTTGTTATAAAGTTTCATTCTTAGTAGAATCACTGTGCAATGTAGGCTTCTGAAATGGTGTGTGTGCAGGTGTGAGCCTACAGCTCAAGTGCTGGTAGGTATCAGTCCATAGCTACTTCCTGTGCATGGCAGTACATAAGATGTTGTGGCTGCTTGCATGTAAACCAACACCTCGCGTTTTTATGTAGAAAGAGAGAATAAAATAGATGAAACAGGAAAATAGGAAAACATAGTAAGGCAACCATAAAGATGGTACAGTAGTATCAAATGACTGAACAGGAAGGTAAACAAAATTGGAAGACACCCACTTTGTCTTCTTAATTCCAGGAAATCCTCTCGTAGAGTTGTAACCAATGTATAGGGTTACAATCAGTGAGTGGATCAATTATAGCTGCATAATAATTATTATGTGTATATAATTTACCTGGAATTATGACATTGTCCCGAGGCAGGCAGATAGTATCCTTATCCAGTAACAGATTACTGACTTATTTCGACAGTGAAACCAATTTTCCCCAACATAAATATTTTGTACCATATTTTCATGTTATAAAACCAAGGCTTCATATAAAATTAAAACCTGAAAATGTAAGTCAGAATGCATGATTTTCTATTGTATGTACTAAAATAAGCAGAGCTGGAGAAATGACTAGGTACTTCTCTATTACATGGCGCAGTGCCATATTATGTGGACAGTTCTGTTCATTTAATTCTGTGTATACAGCCCCCTTATGAGAGAGAGAGAGAGAGAGAGAGAGAGAGGGAGAGAGAGAGAGGGAGAGAGAGAGCCCATGAGGACACTGGTATAATTATTATGAGGCTCAGTTTTCCACACGACTTATAGTGTACCTGCTTCTCTTAAAGTGGACAGAATGGATATAATAATTTTACATGTCTTAGATGATCAAATACAGTTTGACAAATGTGGTTATGTGTGGCATGTCTGTTTTTTACCAGCCACTATAACCACATTTCAACATTTATATAATTTTTCATCAAGATAAGATTTGCGAAACAAGTCCATGGCACTACACCTTAACTCTTGTTCCACTGGCATCTATAGGAGCGAGTCAACCCCACCTTTGAAGCTCTGTTTGAGACTGGAGTGGACGAGATGTCGTGGGATGACACTGTAAGTTTCTCCGTCAGACCTCATGTACACACATCCTCCTTTCCTGCCTCATCCTCCATAACCTTTCACCCATCCATATGTATACCTGTGATGTATGGCTGTGGGGATGTTGTGGCTGACACAACCTAACTATCTAGTATAACGAGTCCAGATTGTTTTAAGAAGTGTACATGCATTTAAAATAGTAAAAAGACTCTTACAGACATGTCATGTAGTGCTGTCGTGCATGATATAATTATAATATGGGCTACCTTCAGTTATCTATCAGAGTCTTACTATGACTATTTGAAACCCATAATTTCTTGTAACTAGGGGGTGGGACCCTTTATTTACAGTACGTATATAGTATTCATGTGCATGAATCTGCCAGGAGAACTACCGAATGGGAGGGGCCTTCCAGTGGCCAGGACTGAAGGAGGTGATGGAGTATCGTGAGACTGTGAGAGAGTTGGTGTGTGATGTCATCTCATCGTCTCCTCTCTCCCTCCCTGTCTCCATGGACAACCCCTGGGTGAGAGTAGACCTCCTTTTACTGCCGTACCTAGAAGCCAAAGTGCAATACCAACAGCAGCGCTACACTGGCTTCAATTAAAAAAAGGCGATTTTCGTAGAAGTGCTGCGTTCGAAAGTGATGGCGTGAAAACCAAGTCAACAAGCCAATATGCTAATTAGCACAGGCTTACCTCGACCAGGTCCGCTCGCTCTGTATATCTTGAAGGCACAAGAAGTCACAACGAAGGGCATGTATCAACTCCCGCATGCTATCTACTACTGTAACTAGACCGTGTCAGACTCTCCGCGAGATACCAGCGGGAGAGACGAGTAAAAGCTCCCCGCCCATCAATTAGCACGCATGCGCAGTTCGCCGAGGGTTTGCACTTACTTTAGTGCTTTTCTTGGTAGTGGAATTGCATGACGTTATCCAATTACTCAACACATTCTGCAGTGGTCCGTGTTCATGTCTCTGGAACATGAAAGGTGAGTATGATTTATACCGCCACTTTTCAGTGGTTTCAGTGTGTATATACTTAATTATTGCTAACACAAACACATGGTGATGTTTTACACGTTTAACTGCACTGATATAGAACATCCAATGTAGCCACTTTGACATCAGATTACAACCTTAAACCAGACAAAGCGAAAACTGTCAGACGACTAGGTCTTTTGGCGCAGGAGTAGATGTGCATTTAATGGGCTGTCCGATGTATATAAAATTTGGCAAGGCGAGTGCATTAGTTGTGCAGCACAATTAAGTCACACACACACCGTAGTTGTAAAGTGCGGTACATATGTACCACACTACTCTTTCTGGACGAGCTAATAACATCTATTCCCCTCTCTCCACTAACACTTTCTGGACGAGCTAATAACATCGATATTCCCCTCTCTCTCCACTACGTACGTGTGTGTGTGTGTGTGCCTACGTAGGATACACCTGGAGACTTCGTCTGTGCTCATACGACAACTCCCCGTCGACCACGTCAAGAAGCCGGCCAACTGGAAATATGCCCCACTCTCCATGGGTTAGCCCCTGGGCTAATTGTAATTGATAGCGCCCCATATGTACATTCATACACCCACTATCCATCTGTAAGTGCCGTACTAGCCCTTGAGCTGACTTTTCCCATACATTAACGGTAAGGAAGCCCTTGACCTACGTAGATGGCACTCCATATTAATCCATTCTCCATGGATAAATCATGGCACTAGCAAACAAGTGCCCTACTGTCCATGGGTTAGCCCCTGAGATAATCATTTATTGGACCATCAAACGTGAGAGTCAAAAAACCTGTCGCACTCTCTTTGGGGTTTTTGTGTAAGACATCACCGAGCTAATTACTGATGGTAGTGGCAAACATTAACGCTAAAATGTGCTAAATTGAAAACCTGTTAGTGAAACGTGAGCGACGTTCATACCGATATGCAAGTACTTGGCACCGGTCACACTAATCTTGAGATAATTACATTTATTTCCACTAAATCTTTATGCATTTTATTATGTGTGTATACATTGTTCATATGGTGTATGTTCGTTTGTTAACGGTTCCGCCCATTGCTCTGGGTGCGTGGTCTATGGCTCTAGTGCTATGGCAGCCACCTGAGTATTATTATTATTATTATTATGTGTGTATATATACATAGGATGCAGATTGAAGCATGATGCGTATGCAAGCATGGCCATAACATGTGTGCTGCATGTGAATACCAGAACACACAGTGTAATTCAGCCAGTTGCTGGGTGATGCCAAGGCTAGCATGCGGCGAGAGACTGTTTCTGTGTCATACAATCTTATACCGGGGATTAGTGGCTGTAATTGATGCAATTACATACCTTTGTCATTTCCAGGGATTGTGTTATTGGGCAAGCAGAACAAGCCCCCAGTCATTCCTTTGGCTCAATTTTGTTATGCACCGCCGGTCTGTAGTGTGATCCACCTCTTCTTTTTAAAAAGAGCTGTCCTGGATGTAGTTGTTGTGCCTTTGCCTTTCTACGTCGTACTCGACGCACGCATTACTTTTTCCTGGGGTGCACAGGTGGCTTTGGTTTTAGTCTAGCTACGTGGGTATGGTAGAGCCACCGAACAAGCTGTCAGCGCTTTCCCGTCGTAGTGGGGCATTCCCATAAAATCTCTGCAGGCATGCCGTCTTAAGGAAAGTTTAGTGACATACGCTGCAGGTTACTACGAAAGACGCTCGCTCAACAATGCTATCATTTCCACTGACGCCCCCATGTATAGTGCTTTCTGTTCCACCCCCCCCCTCTGATCAGATTCCAGTGCAGGTGAGAATGTGCTGGTGAAGGTTCCCGGTGGTCGAGTGACTGTTGGAAAACCTCGTGACTTCCCCTCCTATGGCTGGGACAACGAGTACGGTCAGATGGAAATTGAGTGAGTCCCTCTGATTATTATCTGTGTGCTCAAAAGCAATTTCCAAACAGTAGTGTCAGTGTTTTTTCAATAAGGGGAGGGAGGGTTACTTTCTGTATGGTTTCATAGTCAGTTGTACCGTAAGCATTCAGATAATGGGGAATGGTGTGGACACCTTTCCTCTCTACTGAGTAGGCCATAACCCTAAAGCACGACCTTAATTTGTAGGTCTGAGTTTGGTATGTTTGTATGTGTGTTGTGTTGCAGCGTTCCAGAGTTTGAGGCCAGTCAGTATTTGGTGACTAACGGAGAATTTCTGGAGTTTGTTGAGAGTGGAGGCTACCAGAACAAAGACCTCTGGACCCTGGAAGGTATGAAATGTGAAACCAGCTCCGATGGATTGCACGAAGGCCTCCAAACAGCACATGGGTGTGACATGCAGACAATATGAGAACACAATAATTGACCGATTACTGTAATTGTGATACCATTTTGGGTGTCTGTACATCTTTAATTACCTGGGTGTGTCTTGCCTGTAGGCCCTGCCTCTACATGGTATGCATACTTGCATTACTTGGAGGAAAGTCAAAATGGAAAGCAAACCCTTGGCCCAAAACGAACACGTTGTACACATTACTGGGCCATGCATCATCGACGGAGCCAATAGCACGAGTCTCGCCCTAACACAGCAGTTAGAGCAATTACTCAGGTGTTCCAGAGGCTCTCACATTAATGCTTTATGCAGTCTATCCGCTCTTCTGTGTTTCAATGCTTGCGACATACTGCCAGACTGTGCTTTACGTTTAGATGGGAAGACATGACCACATCCATAAACTGCCCGTCTCACGTGAACTGTTGTTCTACATCGCGGACAAACCTCGCTCAACTTGTTATCCATTGAGAACAACGAGAACCTTACAGGGCGAATGCTGGGTACGTAGGAATACACAGCCTGGATTAGAATTTGACACCAGAGAAGACTGTGAGTATACATGTCAGCAGACCTATAGGGAGGAGGGTCTGTTAATTTCATTCACATCCCCATTTGTCAGATCTTATGTAAATATAACAGATTTGTTGGATATCCCTAGGCAAACGACATGTATGAACCCTGCTTGCCCATGTAGGATTGTATAGGCTGATAAAACCCCCCAGTACCTAGCTTCATACATGTTGGTTGCCTAGGGATATCCAACAAATAGGTATATATACACAGCCTGGATTAAAATTTGACACCAGAGAAGACTGTGAGTATACATGTCAGCAGACCTATTTCGGGAGGAGGGTCTGTTAATTTCATTCACATCCCCATTAGTCTGCAACTGCAGATCTTATGTAAATATAATGCAGTGCCCAGACAGGACAACATGAGCCCTGTATGCTGTCCTGTCTGGGTATATAGTGCAACAGATTTGTTGGATATCCCTAGGCAAATGACATGTATGAACCCTGCTTGCACATAGGATTGTACAATCCCCCAGTATCTGGCTTCATACATGTTGGTTGCCTAGGGATATCCAAACAAATAGGTACTGTATACACAGCCTGGATTAAAATTTGACACCAGCAAAGACTGTGAGTATACGACCTATAGGGAGGAGGGTCTGTTAATTTCATTCACATCCCCATTGGTCTGCAACTGCAGATGTTAATGTCAATTCTCTATGCATTTTCAATCTGTATGTGGTTTGTAACTCATTAGCACTACAATATAATAACATCAGAGCCCTAATTGCATGTCTGACTTTAGTGCTAAGGAAAACCACATGACAGGACAGTATCAGTGTATATATCGTGCTGCCACTTAAGAATCTTAGTGGGTCAGTGGACCTATATGTATACATCGTAGGATGCAGATTGGAGCATGATGAGTATGCAAGCATGGCCACAACATGTGTGCAGCATGTGAGCTGTGTGTACAAGGTTCAGCCGATTGCTATCAGACAAATCCACACACCCATGTATGTATGTACATCCGCAATCATCAAGCAATTTCAGTGCTCTCCGGTGAACCTCTGGAATCTATCTGATTTCGCTGATTATTATTATGCTAGTGTTATCACCACACATAAGGTGTACCTCTGACTATAAGCAGAGCTAAAAGACTGTCAGTATATACGAGGCTAAAAGATTATCTGAATGTAACAAGACATAATCAATGCAGAGCCAAGTATACGTCTTCACACTCATGCAAAGCAAAGGCTATCTTATGTCTTTATGATTTTACAATGTGAACCTACGTATCAAGGTTGGAAGTGGGTGGAGTTTCGCTGTGCCCGTCACCCGACCTTCTGGGTGTGCAGTGAGGGATGTAAGAGTGGCTGCGGTGCAGACCTGAGCACCTACTCCCACTGTAACCTCCAGCCTCCTCCTCCTCTCAATGGAACCACTCACGGCAACACCTGCT